TAGCAAAAGTAAATTCTGTGCACATGGGGTTGCTCTTGCAAAGAACCTTTTGAGGCTCTGTTGTTCCCGAAGCACCATGTGGGGCTATGGGGAGACACAACCTACCTCACAAACATGACAGACAGAAATGGAGATAGGCAGTTGTCCATAATGAGGATGGTGCCGGGCGTGTAAGGTTCCAACTCGTGTTTCCCAGAATGTGACTGTATGAAGTAATGGGGTACTCGAAAACAGACTTGGAGCCATGTGCGGGTGTGAATTTGTTAGGTATTTGTTTTAACATGTAATGAGAAAATCTTAATTTTCCACTGTGATGATATAAAGTTTCTTTCTTAAATAAATGTAACTTAAAAAAAAAAAACAGTGATGTTAAGAAAGAATAGCCCAGGGATACTTACTGTGGCCAGTCCTGCAGGCTCTGTCGGACAGATTCAGGAAGATAAGGATCTCTTCCCCCTTCTAGGGCCATCAGGAAGCCACACACTCTACATGGAGATGAACAATGTCTCCAGGCTGACATTCTGCACTCTTTCTTCAGGTCTCTGAGCATTGATGTTTTGGTGTCTATTTGCTGGCTCTGAGCCACTGGTCTTGCCCTCTCCAAACCTTGAGCCCCCCTCCTTTGGTTTTCTGAGCTTGTGAGAGGTCACCTCACTTCCAAAGCAAGATGGAGGAACTTTCCCATGATCCTCCTGGACCTCAGAAGATGGTTTGTTAGTTGTTGTTTTTACGGTGGTGGTCATTTACCATATTCCTCATCAGTCTGGTCACAAGAGTGTCCATGTGTGCACAACATTTAATAGCTAACAGCTTCACTGGGAACTTCCTTCAGAACTGTTCTCACATGGAGGAAGAACTTTTTCTTCTTAAAGCCACAGCCTTCAATGTATAATAATTTATAGACAGCATCGGTGGTTTAGGGCTAGAATTCTCAAATTTATTGTAACTGTTTCATAGGCGGGTGATAAAGCTGAAGAGAGAGAGGATAGAAGTCAGCCCCTCTAGAAAGGCTCATCTTTCAATCTTGCTGGGTTATGGCCTCCTCCACAGACTCTGGAGGCTGAATCAGCACAGCGGGGTGCAGTGCCCCCTGTGCTGGTCTCTCCTTCGTTCTTCTCCATTCACGTTCGTGGACTTCCTCCCCTCAGGTGGGAGCTTCTGGGGGCAGCGACTGCATCCTGACCTCTCATTCAACAAGTAGTTGCTAGTGGGTCCGTGTATCCCAGGCCCTGGCCTGCGAACTGAGGAGCTGGACGTGAAGGGTGCAGCCGAGTCTCTCCCTCACACAGCTCCTTGTTTCTCGTGGTGTCTACTGTAGGTCTATTAGTTACCCACTGCCACATAGCCAGTTGTCCCAAACTGTGGCAGTGGAACAAACATAAATGCATACTTCACACATTTTCGGAGGAAGTCATGGGTATACAGGACAGACAGAAAGTTGTCGATTTTTTCGGATAAAGTTTTTGCTCTGCAATATGCTTATAGTGGATACAAGGTGAGAGGAATCCAGGCGCATTTTAGCTGGGAACTTCCGGCTCATGGTCTCTCAGGAGGCTGAGTCAGGCTGTTCTCCAGGGGGCCATCCCATGAAGGATACACTGGGCTAGGGATCTGCTTCTAGGCTCACTCCCATGGCTGTTGGCTGCAGGCCTCAGATTCTCACCACACGGGCTCTCCATGGGGTGATAGTAACATGGAAGCTGGCTGCTCCCCACATGAATGACCCAGGAGAAAGCGAGGAGGCTGCGGTGTGTTTTGCCTCATCTCACAAGTGACACATCGGCTCATCTGCCATGTTTCGTCTGACACACAGCCCGACCCTGCAGTGATGCAAAATGCCGGACCTTCTCTGGGTCTTGACACATATGTGATAATGTATTGTTTTAAAATCATACGTGGGTGTAATGTATAGAGCTATGACTGCAAGTCACTGACAAGAAGCCACTGCCGCCAAAAGGACCCATTCCTTACTTTTCCTGAGAGAAGGGACAGAGAAGGACCATGGAGGAAAAGCCAGGTTTGGCCAGGTCGGAGGGGGAGGAAGGGAAGAGACAATCAGAGTCATTATTGGGGTGTCCTTGGGAATGGCAGGGCAGGACAGAATGAAGGCTTTAGGCCTGGCTAGTTTGAACAATACAGGTGGGCTCTGGGCTACAGGGATTCTCTCTGGTTGTCTGACACCTGGCCCCAGGAAGATTAGGGCTGGGACACAGCTGCTTAGCAGAAAGAGATGTGGCCTTGAGTTAGCTTCTTGGTATAGAAGAGGTGAGCTCTAGGTGAGATGACTTGCAGGAGGGAGGTAAGTGGTTGGGCCAGCAACTTGGCCTTCTGATTTGTAGATGTCACCTAGACACGGAATCTAGGAAAACAGCCAGGTCACATGTACCATGGCGAGAGTATCACACACAGTCTCACTGCCCTAAATGTCCTACGTCCTCAGCTATTCCTCCCACCCCATCCCTAGGTCCTGCAACCACTCATCTTCTAGCATCTCCATGTTTTCACCTTTTCCAGAATGTCATGCAGTAGTTATCATAAGGTGCATTGCCTTTGGAGACTGGCCTCTATCATTCCTGTGTCCTCTACTGGCTTACAGCCCATTTATTTTCCTTAAAAAAAACCCCAAAACGTAAGTACACTCTTTTCCCCTGGCCTTGTTGACTGTATAACTTTGGAGTGTTTCCCATCTTTTACTGAGCCTAAATAATGTGTGGTCCACTCAACTAGCATGCTGCTAACCACTTGAAGAAAAAAGAAAAGAACACTTTGTGTTTGGGCTACCTAATAACTTATCTCCCTTTTTATTTCTCTTTCTTTCCTTTGCAACAGTGTTCTTCTAACCACTTGTGAAAAATCTCTATCCAGAAACATTTTATGTAATATTTAAATTTTATTTAGCTTGCAGAGCAAACAAGTCTTGCCGAAAAAATTAAACTCTTTCAGAAGAAAGTCTAGATTCCTTGTACTGGTTGACAAGGGGACTTGTCATGGGTGGGTGCTCGCTATTAAGGAGGTGCTAGGTGTATAGGGCAAAGGAATGGCTATATTTATGGGGAAATACAGCAATATCATTGCAATTTGACCTACCTCCTGAGTTGAGCTAGCAATATGTATGCAGATGATACAAGTTAACCATACGTATTAACGATTGTGTGATTCTCCTCTTCCTTTTTTGCCATGATGTTCAGGGAAGGGAGGCCCAGCACAGGAGAGCTAGAATGGCCACTGGGAAAAGGAGGACTTGTAATTAATTGCGTAGCATTACACGATGCTCTGCCCACAGCTCTGGCTCTGAAAGGAGACAGACTTTTGTCTTAAGTTACAATCAGACAGCTATTGACTCTTCCTGGAATAAAAAAGTGAGATGCCCCCACAGCCTATGGATTTAGGAGTAAAATCGGTTACATCCTAGTATGAAAGGGGTGTAGAACCTTAGAAAAGAGCATCGAGGGTGAGGTAGAGAGATGAGCTCTGTTTAGGTCTTCGCAGAAAATCAAGTCGACTCTTCAGTTTGCTGGCATTTAAGGAATTGTGAGACTGGTCATCGAATTTGCATTTCTCTACCACTTGCTTCACATTGCGTCCAATGCTTAATGGAAATGTTAAATAATAGTTCTGCTTAGCTGTTGGAAAAGCAGTATTTGTAATAAAATGGACTGAATTAATGGGAAAATGTTCCTCACGTAACAATAGCTTAGGGGTCCAGGACAGTTCGACTTCTAGGCCATCAGGAGCCACCACCTCTCCCTCGCAGTGACGACACTTTTGAGACCAGGAAAGCAGAGATGAAAGCCTGAAGCATAGCCCGGAAGTACCTCCTTGCCGATGAAACTTACCGAGCGTGGATCATCAAACGCCCCACCATCTTTCAAACATAAAAAAACTGTCGGTGATTAGCAGCTCTCTCGCCAAGCTTCACCCCGCGCCTTCTTCACATACGGCACACTCCAGTGCGCAACACCATCAAAGCAGGGGGCGGTCTCACTGGAGCGGCCTCTTGCTCGCCCGGGCAGGAAGTAAACATAGCAGGAGGCGGAAGTCCTGCCATGCAGCAGAATTGCAAAGCCTTCTGGGATCTGGGTGGTAACGTGCCCTTTGCCGTCCTCTTTGAGTTGACGTTAACAAGTGAGCTCAGTAAGTTTCCTGGCCTCTCCTGGGCCATCTCGGCTGGCTGCTTCAAAGGACAAATTCAATTGGCAGATCACCTGGGTCCTGACACAGGGTTTGCCGCTAATCAGTGCTTGACATTTTTCCTTGAGAATCAACAGGATTGGACTGCTCTGTCCCTCTGTCCACTACAGCAGTGAGCTTTCAGTGTTCCATTCTGGGGGGAAGCTGGCAAGGGTGGTGGGGCTACTGAGTTTTCTGGTAAATCTTACCCAAAGTGTGAAAGCTGGTGGTCAGATCTGGCTTGCAAATGTGCTTTATTTGCACTCCCCTGTGTTTTTAGTTTTAAGTTAATCACAAGCATTTAAAAATAGGGAGATGTTGCCTTATCGTTTCCAGCAGGTCTCAGAAACTCTGGCTCTGGTCACACAGGGCCCTTACTCCCAGGTGGCAGACTCCTCTAGAGCGGTATGCTTGTCCACGGTCCCCCGGGCCCATTTTTCTCTTTCCCATCCCTTCCAGCCCCTGCATAAATTTGAGTCTGCAAGTTCCTTTGAAAACTTCCTCTGTTTCCTGGATCACACGAGACAGTGACATTTGGTAAAGAACATGTACTCAAGCCCATTCCTCTGCCTCAACAGAGGGATTTGTGTGAGTGCGTGAGCTGCAGACATCCCCATCTGGTTTGTTCCTGGGCGCAGATGGGAGGAGAGCTAGAAGCTGAATACCTGGGGATGGTTCTAGAAGCCCCCCTACCAAGGTGGCTGCATTGCAGGTGTGCAGAAAACCCGTGAAAGAATCTACACGAACATCTGTGTGCATCAGTGATGCGACCCAGTGAGAAAATGAGGCTTTTGGAGTTTTCAAGTGTCTGTTCTTCTTCCTTCCTCCAGGTCCGTGCCACAAACGGCGGGTGAGTGGCTGCTGTACCCAGCTTGGCTCCCTGTCGGCCCTGAAGCATGCTGTCCTGGGCCTCTACCTGCTGGTCTTTCTGATTCTTGTGGGCATCTTCATCTTAGCAGGTAAGAACAGCCTTTTCCGTGCTGGCCTTTTGGAATGAGAAGAGGAGCTCTTCATTCCCACTGTCAGGAGCCCAGATGCTGCCCTCGTCACCATGGAAACCACAGAAGACGCTGGCGCCACGGGGCTCTTTGGTAGCACTGTTTGTTTTACGTGGGACGGTGGCAGAGACCACACGAGCCTGCAGAATCTGAGGGTAGTGGTGGAGATCCAGCTGCTCATTGTGGTTCTGACTTCCTCCATCTTCACGGGACACCACTTTACCCTGCTCCTCCTTGGACCTCCAGGGTGTGGTTTGCATTGGGCAGCGGGGACACTGTCCTCAATGCTTATCCTGGGTGCCATAAAAATAGTCACAAGGAGGCCCGGGGACATAGCTCAGTAGTATGGTGCCTGCCTGGCAAATGCAAGGCCCTGAGTTCAATTCCTGGTACCGCCAAAACCCCCCCCCCAAAAAAAAAAAACAAAAAACAAAAAGTCACAGGCACTCTGCTGCTGAAGCTAATCTGGTCATGGAAAACCTCTGCAGTTACTGGGGTTAGAGTCAGTTTGCCCCAGCTCAACCAGGCTGTCCTTGACAATTTCTGTTTGAGAGATAGGCTGGGGTTTGTAGCACCTTCTCTCGCCAGAGAGAAACAGAGTTCACAGACTGAGAGAGGGATCAAGTGAGGGGCTTGTGGACATTGTATTTGGAAGCAGTGCCATTCGCCCTTATAGGCTGTCCCGCTGGGTTGGAGCCATACAGCAGAGCTGTGCTGGTCCCTTCCTGACTCTCTCCCATCTTTCTCAGTGGAGGGCTTGACAGCACGCAACCAAGGGACCAGTTTATTTCAACCCCAAAACATCTGCCAGGGTCTGTACTAGAATCGGGGACCCAGAAATGAGTCTCGGGGGATTCTCAAGGAGCTTCTAGTCTACAGGACATGGGAAGGTCAGGCAGATAAAGCCCTGTCCCAAGGTGGGACACAATGGTACCATGATGTGGCTGGGGACACAGAGAAGGCGTACACTCGGACACTGTGGCTGCTGCACGGAGGAGGGGGGAGTTGTTAGAGTGTAGCTGCTGACCAGGCAGAACTGACCTGGCATGCTGGGGCAGGATCCTGAGTTAACTATGGGGCAGGAATCTGGAGGTTCTGCCCATACAGATGATCCTTTGCTGGAAATTCTGAGGCAGATGCCCAGGACCTCCCTGGTCAAGACTTACTCTCTGTCAAATAGTATTAGTCACTTGGGCATTGCAATGGCATACTCAGTATGGCCTGTGTGTTCAGAGTTCTGTGCTCGGGGGCATCTGCCCCAACAACCACTGACCTGTGGCAAGGGGTGGTAGAAGGCCAGCAGCAGCAATAAGAGACTCTCGTGATTCATCCCATGGACCAAAGTGTCCAGCAGATCTATCATGTGCTGAGCCAGCCACAGGATGATTTGAATATGTTCTTGGGCTGCTTAGTGAGAGGTTAGGATCTGGGTTTTGTGGGTTTGGCTGCCAGGACCATAACAAATTTTTGGAATGTTTGGAAAGCATTTCAGCCCAGCAGGGAAACCAAACGGTGGTGTTACAACTGTTCCGCAGACCAGGAACTTTTAGGTGACCAAAAGGGTCTAGAGGAGAGGGACAGGGCTGGTGGGGGCCTTGGTACAGAGGCCTTCAGCCCTTGAACAGCATCATCTCCTGGGGAAGAGAAGATACTCAGGGAAGAGGAGACTTCCAGGGGAGGAAAGTTCTCTTCTGGTGCCTGAAGGGTTACTGTGTGGAAAAGGGCAACCATGCTGTGTGACTTCAGGGTGGAACTAAGGCCAGTGAGTAGAGATGATAAAGAGGCAGATTTCCATTCAAAATAGAGGAGAGTTTTCTTACTAGTCAAGTGGTCCAACATGATACAGAAAAGCTTTCCCTAGCTTGGAGGTTGAATGGGATTTATGATGATATCTTGGAAGTGTCAGAAAGGAGAATGCAACGTGGTTTCCCACTCATATGAAAATGTTGCCACACGTCCTTTAGTCTTTCCAGGTGGAAAACAGGAAGATGTTTTGGTCATTATCATCACCTTCAAACCTAAAGTTTCTGGGCACGACGTTGTTAGTACGGAATGAAAAGTTCAGGAGAATTGGAACTGACCTGGGGAAATGTGTCATACCTCATCTCTTGGCTCTGGGTGTGCAGCCATTGTCACCTCCCCGGATTCTTATCTGGAAATCGTGCTGGCCTGGGATGGGGGGTGGTGGGAATGACCAGTAAGAGAGGAGAGTTCACAGCTGCCTGTCTCATAGGGCAGGGAAAATAGTGGACAAGTCTCCTGCTCCTTAAGGAGACTCTGCCTGGTCTTAGGGAGGATTCTTCAGATCACCTGATGGGAAACCTCCAGTGATGCTCCCTTCCAGCAAATACCAAGATGGCAGACATCTGTGGTTCAGGGTGAACCAGACTTGGCCTGACCCTCTGTTGGATTCCTACTGTGGGGGACTCCTTCCTCTTGTTGTTCATGTTCTAGAGAAGTCATCTTGCGTAAGACATCTATTTGAACCACTCTTAAACTTCAAAACCCGTCAACACAAATCTCATATATTCTACTAGTAGATGACAAAATTATACATTGTGACCAGTGCCATATTGGATAGCTGACTGGCAACATCTCATTGGAGTACACATGCTCTTACAGTTTCAATATTTAAAAATTATAACCTCATTGTGTCAAAATATTACTCTTTTAAGCCACACAGGATTTCTCATGAGTCATCTCCTTGCCCAGAATATTAAAAATAAAAGCAAACATTGTACCTTGTGTTTATGCATCACCCTAGCTCCCTCGTCAGAAGATTAGTCCAGGCTTCACCAAAATGATTCTTGCAGTTGGCATTTCTGCCTTCCATCTAACCAGATGGTTAGGATGGCTCCTGACCACATCCTTCCAGGAACTATCTTTGCACATTCCAGTCCATCCCATCCCATCCCGCCCATCTTATCCCATTCCCCCAGCTCACAGCTTTCCACCATCTTTGAGGAGACTGCCACAGTCACTTCCTTCCACCCTCAAATTTTTCTTTTTTCCCTCTCTCTTCAGCAATTTTGTCAGTTATCTCACTGATAGTTCTTATGTTCCTGTTCTGTGTGAGACTCGTTGCAGATGGCACAAACCATTGGGTTGAAGTTCATGAACAAGTGACTTGCTCTTGGATGGTCCTGTGATCAGCAAACCAAGTAGCACTTTAGGCAAGATGTTCTCTGTGCTGGAGCTAAAGGGGTGGAGGGGGTTCCCGTGACTATTTTGGGGTACCACTGCAGTGACAAAGTATGGTCATCAGGAATTATCGCTTCCTTCCCTTTCGTGTGACAACTCTGTTGACAGTTGTGAGAGAGCAGAAAGGGAAAGTGCTAACATCAAAGGACCTAATTTGGGGTATGCTGCAGAATTAAAGCAACAGATTGAGCAACTGGATCGAGCAGAGTTCCTGGTGAGATGGGGGGGGTCCTCTCACACCTTCATTTAACTTTCTCAGCAGTGGCTGCCATCATCATTGACATCTCCAACAAGCACTTAACTTGTACGTGAGTGCTTTGTGACACAGGGCTAAAGGACAAGCCCTGGGAATACGAAGTCATGAGATGCACTGCATTTAAAATGACACACATACAGATGCATGCACACACAGACACACACACATGGGGAATGTGATGTAACCCACGCTGCATGCTAAGTCACGCAAAGGAAACCCCAGATTTAAAATGACACACATACAGATGCATGCACACACAGACACACACACACATGGGGAATGTGATGTAACCCACGCTGCATGCTAAGTCACGCAAAGGAAACCCCAACTCCTGAGGGCTGGGGTCTAGGGAAAAATAGTCTACATGTCATTTGAACTAAAAGTCCCCTTTCTGATCACCTTGTTTCGAGCAGCTCAGCCCCTGTTCTCTACACTCCAAGAACAGTGTGCTCAGAGCCCACACACTTCATACCCTAGATTCTGAATCCATCACTCATCTTGGAAATCAGAGTGTGGTGCCAGTGGCCTTCCTTGGAACACTCGTCAGAAACAGGCCTGTGACATTTCATCCTTGTGGTTATTGCAAAGATGGCCTTGAGGGCATTGTTCATGAAGTTCCAGCGTGCTGACCTCCACGGTCCCGTGAGAAATTATTTTGTGTTTTGGCTGCAGAAAGAGGTATGCACTTCTAGAGGAAGTAGGTTCTTTTCACCTTGTTCTCAACTTTCTCAACTTAGTGTATTTTGTGTAAACAGCCTTGGTCTTTTTTTTTTTTTTCTTGACACAAGGAAGGATGTTATGCATGGTTTTACTTTTTAAAAAATTTGCCTGTTGTATTTGAGTCTTTAAGTACATGACATGTACTTAGTCTTTATCACACATACTTAGTCTTTAAGTATGTGAATGGATAAATAAATGAATGAAGGAATGATAGAGAAAAACTTTGAAAGATTATTTCAGTTTAACAAAGTATCTAAAGGATATGAAAATGGAAATGCCATGCGAGAACATTTGGCTAGGAGAAGAAACCAGTGTGAAATAAACTATATTAATGCCCACTCATCACAGCAGCAGTACTTACATTACAGCGTTCAGAAGGAATATCAGGCCGCAGAAGGTCATGTAGCACTTCATTCTGGTGGGAACCTGGGCTCTTTGGGCTTGACCCTGGCTTCTCCATTACTATTTGATCCTGGCCAAACGATCGATTTCCCGATCATTTTGGACCTGAGTTCCTCCATCTGACAACAGAGGAAGTCGGGTTCCTACCTGCCTCGCTGGGTTGTACTGCAGGTTAAATAAGCTAATACCTCCAAAGCACTTAGAAAAATGCCTGGCACATTGTAAGCACCAGGGAAGCAGCAGCTGTCTGTTATTACTGTTGTTATTACCAACAACTGTTGTTTTTACTGTTGTTCCTTTTTTTCAGTATGGGGAATTGAACCCAGAGCCTTGGATGTGCCAGGCAAGCACTCTGCCTCTGTGCTGCATCTTTAACCCTACT